TTAAGTATGTATGTTTAATCAAGTTCAAGTGCTTATTATAGAGCCCAGATCTTTTAGGTGATGGTGAGTTTTTCATATAATGGTAGTAACGTTTTTATTTTCGTTTTTGAGACGGAGGCTCACTCTGTCCTCCAGGCAGGAGTGCAGTGGTGCTGTCTCGGCTCCCTGGAACCTCCAGCTCCCAAGTTCAAGCGATTCTCTTGCCTCAGACTCCCAGGTAGCTGGGATTACAGGCGCCTGCCACCACTCTCAGCTAATTTTTCTATTTTTAGTAGAGATGGGGCTTTTACCATGTAGGCCACACCGGTCTCAAACTCCTGGCCTCAAGTGATCTGCCCACCTCGGCCTCCCAAAGTGCTGGAATTACAGGCGTGAGCCACTGCATCCGGCAGTAGTAAAGATTTTAAAGAAGGGGAGCATATGCATGCCTTTCTTGAACCAGACCTTTAAGTCTTGTTAATAATTATAATAATATGTAATAAAGAATGAAGTACTTGCTTGTTTTACTACTATTTTTATATAAAGTGGCTAATTTTTTTTTTTTGGGGTTTTTTTTTTTTTTGAGACATGATCTCACTCTGTCACCCAGGCTGAAGTGCAGTGGTGTGATCATGTCTCATTGAAGCCTCAGCCTCCTGAGCTCAGGTGATCCTTCCACCTCAGCCTCCTGAGTAGCTGGGACTACAGGCATGCACCACCATGCCCAGCTAATTTTCTTTCATTTTTGGTAGAGACGGAGTTTTGCCATATTGCCCAAGCTGGTCTCGAACTCCTGAACTCAAATGAGCCACCCACCTTGGCCTCCCGAAAGTGCGGGGATTACAGGCGTGAGCCACGCGGCCCAGCTGGGTTTTTTTTCCTTAACCAGAAGCTGATACTAGCTTCTGAATTTTTGTTGAGGAAATCTATGAACAAATTTGCTCTCTTGTTACAACTACTAGACTACATGAATTTTTTTTAGACTCTTTTCTAAAGAAACCTTTCATTCTCCCTCTATTACAATTCTGCAACTGTGAAGTTTTACAGGAATGGGAACATAAAATATAAGAAAAACAAAAACTGTTTTTTAAATAAAATCTTTCAATATGTTGTAAATTAAAATAGTCTGAAACACTTAACTTTCCAGGAACATGGAGGTGAATTATTTTGGTCTTACTGCTTAATTTTTCATTCATAAAGAGTAAATTGAATCCCAGCACTTTGGGAGGCCGAATTGGGTGGATCACCTGAGGTCAGGAGTTTGAGACAAGCCTGGCTAACATGGTGAAACCCCATCTCTACTAAAAATACAAAAATTAGCCAGGCTTGGTGGCGCACACCTGTAGTCCCAGCTACTCAGGAGGCTGAGGAAGGAGAATTGCTTGAACCCGGGAGGCAGAGGTTGCAGTGAGCCGAGATCACAACACTACATTCTAGTCTGGTGACAGTGGGAGACTGTCTCAAAAAAAAAAGAAGAGAGAGAGAGAATAATTTCTTAGGATAATTTGACTACCTTCATTCTTGTTTTGGTTAGCTGACAGTGGGTGAAAACTGAAACATTTACCTTTGAGGCCAAAAAAAGATACCTTTTAGCTTGAAGAATACAGCTAGTATGCTTGTTGAGGACTCTGCTTTTTTTTTTTTTAAACTTGTCCTCTTTATAATTACTGAATTTAAAGGATGTGTATTATATATAAAATTTTGATTCAGTCACTCTAAAGGGAGAGAATACTTAAACCTGTAGGATTGTCTCCTAAGAAATGCTGCTGCTTTTTTGTTTTGTTTTTTACTTTTTCTTTTCTTGTTTTCCTAACCACCAGACCACCAGAGAAGAAATGCTGTGGTTTAAAAAGGAATTTAGTGTCTCAGCACTTTGAGAGGCCAGGGCAAGCAGATCACCTGAGGTCAGGAGTTCGAGACTAGCCTGACCAACATGGAAACCCAGTGTCTACTAAAAATACAAAATTAGCCAGGTGTGGTGGCACATGCCTGTAATCCCAGCTAGTTTGGAGGCTGAAGCAGGAGAATCGCTTGAACCTGGGAGGTGGAGGTTGTGATGAGTTGAGATTGTGCCATTGCACTCTAGCCTGGGCAACAAGAAACTCCATCTCAATTTAAAAAAAAAAAAAAAAAAAAGTCTCTTTCCTACTGGCATAAAGTAAATGCAACAATATCGGTAATGTTTGGAAAATAGTTTCACCTTAAGGGTGAAACCTCTCACTGTTTTTGTTGATAAGCTTCTATCCAGTTCCTTAATTTATGAACAGAATTTTTACATTTTTAGTAAAAGTTCTCTGAAAACATGAAATTGACTAGAAAGTTAATATATATCACCTCAGGAATATTTAAAATCTCTCTCTGTATCTTATTTTTAGAAAGAGTCATCTGAAGAGTATAGAAGTAATAGCTAAAGTGAAGACCTTATATTGCCTCCTTATGAAGTTAGATACCACTTGAACATACTCTTTTCTTAGTAAAGATGTAACGGGAATTTAGGTGGTAATCCATAGGTAAACATTGGATCTGTGAGGTTTTTTTAATTTCAGCTTTTATTTTAGATATAAGGGCTACATGTGCAGGTTTGCTACATGAATATATTGCATGTGGGTAGTGAGCATAGTACCCAATAGATAGTGTTTCAACCCACTTCCCCCTTTCTCCTTTCCTCCCCCATCTGTGGGTTTTGTTCACCGTTCAGTTAACTGCATTCTAGCAGAACTGAGTCTTTTCAGTTTTTTTGTTTTTGTTTTTGGTTTTTTTCTTTTTTTGAGACATTTTCTTGCCCTGTCGCCCAGGTTGGAGTGCAATGGCGCCATCTTGGCTCACTACAACCTCCGCCTCCCCGGTTCAAGCGATTTCTCCTGCCTCAGCCTCTTGAGTAGCTGGGATTACAGGCATTCGCCACCACGCCTGGCTAATTTTTTTTTTTTTTTTAGTAGAAATGGGGTTTCACCACGTTGGCCAGGGTGTTCCTAAACTCCTGACCTCAGGTGATCCACTCACCTTGGCCTCCCAAAATGCTAGGATTATAGGCGTAAACCACTGCATCTGGCCTCTTTTCATATTTTTTTAGTTTTAAATTTTTTACTTGGCTTAGAGGCAGAATGACTTATAATTACACAAAGCAATATGGAAAACAAACATATAGGCAGAGTTGGCAGAGGAAACAGGGATGAATGACACAGTAAAGGGAAAACAAAGAAATAGGGGGGAAAAAAGGAGGTGATTTGAAGGGTGCCTTATTTAGGGCCTATTTTGTTTGATTTTAGAGGCTGATATTTGATCCTTGCTACAGGCTTGAATCTCCTTTGTCTTTGCTTTCATTAAAGCCACATGCACCTGTAATCCCAGCACTTTGGGAGGCTGAGGTGGGTGGATCACTTGAGCTCACTAGTTTAAGACCTGGGTGACATGGCAAAACCCTGGCTCTACCAAAAAAAAAAAAAAATACAAAAATTAGCCAGGCGTGGTGGCATGCACTTCTAGTTCCAGCTACTTGGGAGGCTGAGGTGCAAGGATGGTGCAAGCCTAGGAGGCAGAGATTGCAGTGTGCCAAAGTTGTGCCACTTCACTCCGGCCTGGGCGATAGTGCTAGACCTTGTCTTTAAAAACAAACAAACAAACAAACAAACAAAAACCACACGAAGCATCTTTCTGGAGTGTTGATGTTATGTTACAATAAGTAGTATAAACACATTTATGATCACTTAGCAGTTCGCTTAACAGATTTTACTAAATGCTCACGGAGGCCAGATTTTGTTTTAGACTTGATGGTGTGAGGAAGGGAGGCAGGGGCAGGGAATACACTGAGAAGGCGTCTTAGAGAAAGTAAAAAACAAATTGAGATCTGAACAATGAATAGAAAACAGCTTTGTAAAGCAGAAAGGGAGAAGTAATACAGATCAAGAGGAAAAGATTGGAGAATGCAATAAGGACAAAGGACTTGTAAGCCCTGTCAGGAGACTGGATCCTAAATGTAATGGGAAGCTAAATGACACGATCAGGTTGACATATTGCAAAAATAACTCTGGTAGTAGAGTTGAAAGATGAATTGCAGAAGGGCAAGACCAGTGGTGATACCGGTTAGGACATTATTGCACTAACCCTGGTTATGGGAGTGAGGGGCTGGTTTGGATTAGGGTAGTGAAGGTAGTGGCTCTGGAGAAACAAATGGACAGATTCAGCGGATATTTAGGAAGCCTAATAGACAAGATACGATGATTGATTGGATGCTGGGGGTGAAGAAAAAGGAAGCTTTTCAGATTTTTCAGTGTGTATATCCAGGTTGAGCTAAAATAGGGAAATGGGGAGACTAACAGATTTTGGTGGAGGGTGCAGGGGAGATCATGCATTCAATTATAGAGTTGGTGCCTGTGAGATCTAAGTATAATTGTAACAGGTGGACATAAAGGATAAGGGGGTCAGAGAAAAGTGGCCTTTTACAATTTGTTTTTAGTGAGGAGAGCAAACGGAAAAGCACTTATAGAGAGAGGTTCATCTTTGATGTGACAGTCTCTTGTGGACTGATTTATTCATGAGAGACTGGTATATAAACTTGTTTATCAGTCCTTGAGAAATGTAGTGTACTGGCTGTTCATGTTCACTGTACACTCTTCCTGTGGACATACTGACATGACAATTCATATCACAGTGAGAATAACATTTGAGCAAAGCCTTAGAAAGGACATCAGATGAGCCCAATGCTTAATATCTTGTATAATGATTTATTGTAATTATTTTCTTGTACTGCCCAGAGAAGATTGCTTCAAGAGTCACTTTGCAGGAGAGGAGGGGGGCTTGTTTCATTTTAATTTTACTTACACTTAAAAGTAGAATTTAAAAATACTTGGCATTTTCATAGATTAAATTTCTAACGTACAGTGGTGAGTGTCGTAAACAAAATATTTTAACAAGCTTTTATCGTTATTTTTGTACCTCAAAGAAAGTAGGGTGAGTTTGTTCAAATTAGTTTATTGGTGTTTAAAACCATTTCTTTTTTTTTTTTCTTTCTTATTTTAAAGAAATGGCTGCAAGCAACTGACCTCACTAGAGAAGTGTACCAGCATTTAGCCCACTCTGTACCCAAAATCTACTGCAGGGGTCCCAACCCTTTTCCACAGAAAGAAGACATGCTGGCACAGCATGTTTTGTTGGGACCGATGGAATGGTACCTTTGTGGTGAAGATCCTGCATTTGGATTTCCGAAACTTGAACAAGCAAACAAACCTTCTCATCTTTGTGGTCGTGTTTTTAAAGTAGGAGAGCCTACATACTCTTGCAGGTAAAATATTTTAATTTTCTTTCTAGGAGGCTCTTATTTTATTTGACCTCTTTTTTTCCCTGAAACCTTAAAATTTTGTTTAAAAACTTCTGTATTATAAATACATGCTATTTAATTAAAATATATAGATTATATGTAACATACAGTATAATTTAAATAATTATGAAATGAACATTCTTGTAATTATTCTTGAGATCAAAAAATAGATTGTCAGTGGCATTCTGGAAGCCTACTGTGTGCTTTCTTCCTTCCCCCATAATTAACTGACATCTTGACTCTTGCTATAATCACTTTCTTGCTTTTCTTGATATTTTTTAGTTACGGTAATTCTGATGTTCAGATTGCCCTAGATTTGGCTAGTGAGAGCCCCGTCACACCAGCTTCTTTGTCTTTTTTACATACCTTCATTAGTTTGTGGGTGCTTCTTTCCTTTCTGGCACAACAAGATGCCCCTAGCTCACTTTGTACTTGCTCTGACCCGTATGTAGAATCAGCCATTTCTTAAAGGATTTTTTTTTTTTTTTTTTCATTTCGGAATGGTAGTTAGAAACCAAGACATGGGTGTTATACATATTTACTGCTATTAGGAAGACTTTTCTTTTTTAAATTTCTTGTTGTAAATTGAGTATACAAAGGTAAAAGATAGAGAATAAAGTGCCTTGTCTCTTTTTTGACTATCCTACTTTCCAGAATTAATAATTGTTAACATATATCCTTTCAGAAATTAGATAAAAAGAAAAATTTCTTTTTCTTTTCTTTTCTTTTTTTTTTTTTTTTTTTTTCCTTTGAGACAGAGAGTCTCACCGTGTTGCCCAGGCTGGAGTGCAATGCTGTGATCTTGGCCCACTGCAGCCTCCGCCTTCTGGGTTCAAGGAATTCTGCTTCAGCCCCGCAACTAGCTGGGATTACTGGCATTCACTACACCCAGCTCATTTTTGTATTTTTAGTAGAGACAAGGTTTCATCATGTTGGCCAGGCTGATCTCGAAATCCTGACCTCAGATGATCCACCCGCCTCGGCCTCCCAAAGTGCTGGGATTACAGATGTGAGCTACCTCACCTGTCCTCTTTCAGAAATTTTCTTTGCGTGCATAGGCCAAGATATGTGGCAGTTTTAAAGCTACATACATATACACATAAATAAAGATGGGAATATGTTACATCTACTGAGCTAAATTTTCTTTTCTGTATTTGACAGTAGCTTAACATCTTTCCATATCAGCTTATGTAGCTAGATAATATTCTTTTGTGTGGATGTGCTGTTGATGGAGACATTATTTAACTTTTTCCTTAAAACTTTCCTGTAAAATTTAAATTTAATAAGCTAATTTTGGTGAAGGCCTCTGGGTATCTATGGTAGTTTTTCTTTATCAGCATATTTAGAGTCTCAATAGAGAACAGTATATATATTGAAAGACTATTAGATCTAGTTTTTTGTTTGCTATTACAGAAACCACTTTGAGTATTCTGTTGATGTTTGGAGCAGTAGACCTAGTTGAACCTCCCAATTTACAGTTAGAAAGTTGAGACCCTGTTGTTCTAATAATGCCCTTTGTATCAATAGGATCTAGTTCCAAATCATTCATTTGTATATCCTGTCTTGTAATCTTCAGTCTGGAACGTTTCCTCAGTTTTTCTGTGACTTTCATGATCTTGACACATTTGAAGATTACAGACTAGTTATTTTATGAATGTCCCCTCAATTTGGGTGTCTGGTTTTCATAAATAGATTCAAGTTGCGTCTGTGACAGGATTACCACAGAAATAATGTGTTTCAACCCTGTCAGGTGGTATATATGATTTTGATTAGTTCTGTAACTGGTGATATTGATCACTTGATTAAAAGGATGTCTGCAAGATTTCTCCGCTGTAATATTACTCTTTTCCCCTAGGTGATCAGTAAGTATATTGGGGGAAGTACTTTGAGACTATTAAGTATCCTCTTCATTATCAAACTTTCAATTTATTTATTTATTTATTTATATCAGTATTTGTGGGGTCTCATTATTATGCTCAAATTGTCCTAGATTTGGCCGGTAAGAGCCCCTTCAAGCTGTCTTTGTTCTTTTTCATCTCTCTCTCATTCTTTGAGCTCTTTTTCTTTTCCTTTCCTTTTCCTTTCTTCTCCTTTTCTTTTCTCTTCTCTTTTTTTTTTTTTTTTTTTTTTTCTCTTTTCTTTCTGGTATGAGATGTCCCAGGCATTATCTTGAGCTTTTCGCTGCCCCAAACTTGAAATCAACCATCTTGCCAGGGAGCCTGGTTCTTTTTAGTGGAAAATGGTGTTTACAAATAAGACGGTAAGTGTGCTGGTTGCTGTTGGTGTTATAACTCTCAGGCTGTCTCAGTAGAGCTTTATTTTATACCTATCTAAATAAATGAATTGCAATAAATAGTGAAAACTATGCATTTGTAGGGAGCTCGCCAGTTCCCATCTAAGGTTCTTTCCAATTTTCTTCCTTTGCGTATTTTTAATTTCCTTCTCTGACAAGAGAAAACCCGATTCTCATTTTCCTCAAAGTATTTGCTTATTTAATTATTCCCGTGTATGCAACCATCTCTGCCGCTGCCGCCGCCGCCGCCGCCACCGCCGCCACCGCCACCAAATTCTCTGCATAATTGCCCTCCTTTACCCTACTTGGATTCTGTGTTCTATACTGGGCCACAGTGGCCTTTCCTTCCTCTTTTTTTTTTTTTTTTTTTTGAGATGGAATCTCACCCCATAGTGCAGCCTGGATTGTCGTGGCATGATCTCAGCTCGCTATAACCTCCGCCTCCCGGGTTCAAGCAATCCTCCTGCCTCAGCCTCCTGCATAGACAGGACTACAGGTGCACACCCACCAGCTTATCTGTGTATTTTTAGTAGAGATAGGGTTTCACCATGTTGGCCAGGCTGGTCTCAAATTCCTGACCTCAAGTGATCTGCCCGCCTCAGCCTCTCAAAGTGCTGGGATTACAAGTGTGAGCCACCCTGCCCAGCCTCCCTCCTGTTTTGTCAGGACAGATCCAAAGTAAGTCTTGTTCTAGGATGTATAGTTTTTCTTATTTGTGGGGGAGTCCCACAAATAACAGAGATACTCTGACCACATAAGTAATGCCAGGGGTTTAGAGGTTACCTCCCAGGAACTAGATCAAAGACCGGCCAGATTCTTTATTACAGTGTTGTTGAGATCCTTTGTAGTGCTTTACACAACACTTGATACACAGTAAACTCACAGTAAATGGCCATGCTGGGTGCAGGGGATGAGTATCTCATTTTAAAAGTAGGTGTTCCCATGAAACCTAGTGCACTGGTAAATGACATAGAGTCTGTTATTTAGAAAGATGAAATATGGTTATTGGAATTCTGGGGAGGTTTCTAAACTGCACCCTTCAGGATAGAGGTAACTGATATCCATTATGTGGGAGGTTTCTTTAATGAGAAAGAATGATATTAAAGGATCTTCTGTATATAGTACTTAGAAAAAGGATTTGTGAAGGGAATAGATTAGTTTTGCCATGGAGAGTTATTTGTTCATAGTTTCTAAAATTGTGTTGGCCACAAATTATTTTTCTGAAGTCTCCATGATGTCAGAAAAAAGTTATCTGGGTGTTTATAGGCAGTAAGCTACTTTTTATTTACTCTATTAGGAAAAGAGTGGTCAAACTTAGCATTTAGTTATTCATTACTAAATAGAAATGGTTTTAGAGTGTAAAAATCTTAGTGGGCAAAAACCTTAGTGTTGATTTTGATAATGTACATTTTGACATTTTCTAACCATTAAGAAAAAACACTAGTAGATTATGAAATCATACTTTCATGAGTAACTTCAGTGTTTAACTTAATACTTCTGTTAAGATACAGAGAAGTGAGATTTCATTCCCCTATTTTTTTAGTATAGTTAAATTGAGAACCTTTTTTAACATTTAAAAATGTATCGCATGAATGTTATAGATAATCAGAAATCAGCATTGAGGGCAGGGGTGGCTTATGCTGCCGTCAGGAATATTTTTGTTTCTAGATAGTATTTTATGATACTTTATTAACTATTAAATAATTTTGCTTAATTTTTTTGCTTTAATGCTGGTTTGTATTGGTATATAGTTGTACGTATTTATATGTGATATTTTTATACATGAACATAAAGTATAATGATCAAATCAGGGTAAGCAGGATGTCCATTACCTTGAACATTTATCATTTCTTTCTGTTGGAATGTTTTGGCCCTGATTCTGTTGGTCATGACAGTTGAGATTATGCTAAAAATGGCAACCTTATAATCCCAAAGACCTTAAATACCAAGATATATTTATTACTCAGACTGTGTGACCAATTCAGATGAGTGCAGTGGTAAGTAGAGGGCTCTGCTCCAGGTAGTTTCTTCACCCCATCTTATATTTCCACAAGCTTGGTGCATTGCTTTCAGGGTTCACCTGAAAGAGCAGAATAGAGCAAGAGCAGAATAGAGCTTGTAGATCATGCCCAGCAAGTAAATGCTTTGTCTCAGAAATGATGACCTTGCCCAAATCTCATTAGGCAAAACTAGTCCTAATGCCTCTGTCCAGCTACGGAACAGGTTGGAAAAGTGTAATTCTCCTAAGTCTCAGGGATAGATGAAACTGGGATGTAGATGAGCATTAGAAGTGTCTTTAGCAATGATTTTTTTTTTTTTTTTTTTTTACGTTTTTTAGGGTTATTTTTCCTCCGAGTCATTAGGATAAAATGAAGTAAGTGTGTAAAAGCACATAGGTAACTATAAAGTATACATGCATGAGGTTTTTTTAAATTGAATAATCTTCATATAAATTACTGAGCCATGATAAGCAGAGGGGTGCAGACAGTTCCAGTTCCTTTTCTGTGTGGAAATAATAAAGCTCTCATATGGAAGAACGACTTATTTCCATGAAGAGTGGTTGTTCTTTCAGTTTCGCCTTGCTTTTTGAAAACCTTGAAGTCTTGATCTCTTGCAGGGTTCTATTTTAAAACTGAGTGTTAGGCTGTTATTGTATTGCTATACAGAAATA